CACACTTTTCAAACAAAGTTTTCAAAAACACTTCGTAACACTCTTGAAGACTGAAGCAAGGGTTAAAACAAAGTAAACAAAAACTTTTCAAAACACACAAACACATAAGCAATTTTAAAATGATGAGCAAGTACCTAAGAGCCCGTAGAAAACTACAGATAGAAAGGGTGCTAATACCTTCCCTTTCTATAATCTACCCCCCGTACTCAAAATCTGGAAAAAGGAATTTTTCTGTGCTTTTTTCCTTTCCAGTTGGATAAAATAAAAGTCGGTGGCGACTCTTGCTTACCGCGACATTTTACAAACACAAACACAAAACGCAAACCAGCATTTTCCTAAAAATAGTCTGGTTCTGCCACCGTATCACATTATGGATAGTACTATCTCTAAAGGAGAAGGAAAATAATAAGAAAGACTTTAGTGGACAAGAAACTCTTAATTGCTTGCTCACAATTTTTCTCAAAACATTTTTCACACTACACTTTCAAACAAATATTTTCAAAAATACTTTGTATACATTCTTGAGGATTGATACAATAATTATTACAAAGTCTGCCTTACATTGGCATTTCAAAATATTTCCAAATAATTCACACACAAAAAAGCAAGTTAAAAGTGAGCTAAGCAATCAAGAGCCCGTAGATAACTACGGATGAAAATGATGCTAACACCTTCCCTTTTCATAACTTACCTCCCAAACTCAAAATTTATCAAAGGTCTTTCCTGTTCTTTTCACCTTTCTTAAATATTGGATAAAAGAAAAGTCAGTGGCAACTCTAGCTATCCACGCATTTTGATAAAACTAAAAAGTTATTTTTCTCACCATATTACATAATAAAATTGAGGAGTAAGAGATCTCAATACCTTATCAATGATTACTTATTCAAAAAGAGTTTCTCCATAAGATTTCATCTTATTTGTGATCAAAATCACTATAAAGATGTAATCAGGCATCTTTTCATTGTTATTTATGTTGAGATTCTTATACTGCTTACGTAGAGACTAAAGTTTCACCTTCTTCCACTACGCCAAAAATAAGTTTTAGCAGCATATAAAAGAAAGCGCTTTTGGAAAAAAGCGCTGCTGTAGGTTTTAAAAAAAATTCGCTTAAAAAGGCGCTTTCAAAGGGTGCCTTAAGAAAGTGCTTTTCAAAAGCGCTTCTAAAGGTCACCCTTAAAAAGCGCTTTTTGGGAAGCGCTGCTAAAGCTGGCCTTTCAGAGGGCACCTTAAGAAAGCGCTTTTCAAAAGCGCTGCTAAAGGTCAGCCTTAGAAAGCGCTTTTCCAAAGCGCTGCTAAAGCTGGCCTTTAAAAAGCGCTGCTATAGGATATGCTACGAAAGCACTTTTTGATGTAAAAGCGCTGTTATAGATGACCTTTAGAAAGCGCTTTTAAAAGCGCTTTCGTAGGGGTAGTTGGTTGAGATGTTTCAGAGAACAAAATAATTAAAATAAAAATTTAAAACAAAGTTTAAAAGCAGAAAAAATTAGAAATGTTATTTGAGTGAAGATATGGATTCCATGAGTCACACATCATTACAATGTCCCCAAAGCTACCTTCACATCTATTCCCTTACCTCATCTTACTAACACTTGCATCCATCTATCTGTTCTCTTCTCTCATCTCTCTCCACACACCCTCTTCTTCAACCTCACAATCACTTTCAATCTCCAACTGCAACTTCTTCAAAGGCAAGTGGGTTTTCGATCCAAATCACACCCCATTTTACGACGACACGTGTCCCTTCCATCGAAACGCATGGAATTGCATCAGAAACCAGAGGGAAAATCTGAGCTTGATCAATTCGTGGAAATGGGTTCCACGTGGCTGCCATTTGCCTTGGATCGACCCGTTTCGGTTTCTTGGTGTGATGAGAAATAACAACGTTGGGTTTGTTGGGGATTCGCTCAATGAGAATTTCTTGGTTTCGTTTTTGTGTATTCTTAGGGTTGCTGATGAGGGTGCACAGAAGTGGAAAAAGAAGGGTGCTTGGAGAGGTGCTTATTTTCCCAAATTCAATGTCACTGTTGCTTATCATCGTGCGGTTTTGCTCTCCAAATATCAGTAACCTTCTCCTTTACCAATTCTTTTTCTTGTTTCCGGTTTCAAAGTTCAGAATTTTGCAAATAGCTTGTATTGGGTTGGTGAAATTTAGGGTCTGTTTGGAAGAACCTACTTAAACAGATTTTGACTTTTAGGGTTTTGGTTTTACTTTGTTTCTTTCTTGTATACTTTTTTAAATGGAGACCTTATGTGCTAATTACTGATTAAACAAAGGTGGAAGCCAAAGTAATCTGAAGCTGGGATACAAGATGGGTCAGAAGGTATTCATCGAGTTGACATTGATGTTCCTGCATATGAATGGGCTAAGATTGCAGGTTTCTATGATGTCCTGCTGTTTAATACTGGTCACTGGTAATTCTTTCGAACTTTCCTCCATCTTGAACTTCTAAATCATGCAGTGCCACTTGAAAAATAGTTTGACTTGTATTGTAACTGCCGGTATGCATTGCTAAAAAGTTGAATGAATAAGTAGTTATAGTCTAATATTAATTATGTTTTTATTTAAGGTTGTTATATGACAAATTGGTGCGCGGGAATCAATTGTCAAACAGATTCCATTTCGTGTCTTCCTCCCGTGTCAGCGGAGCGACAATTGGTAGGGAACCAGATTCAGTAAGAGAGCACTTAGTCGAAAGATTCATGACAACTGGCAGTACAAAAAGCTTATATCTTTGGGCGTATAATACTATTCCTACAGGGTTAGATTTTCATTCTAAGTTCATTTGTTTTATTATTTCTCGGATATTTCATATAATTTTTTACTTTTAACTAAATCATGCATATTATGTTTTGTTATGTAGTACTTCGATGAATACAAATGTGCATATTACATGAAACTTCAGTTGAAAGAAATCAAAGAGGAATTGTGTCAATATTTTATTGAGTAAAGAATCATATAAGGTATGAATACATTATTATGTGAAAAGTGTTATGAATACGTTACATGTGTACATGAAATACCATATTGACCGTGTTATTATGTTCAAACCTCGCAGGACCAGGACCTTAATACATAATTGACCGTGTTTCTTTCATACATTAGGACTGGTTTAGTTGTTGTTAGGGTTGATTTTGTAAGACTGATTTTGAATTACAATGCTGATAACAATGGTTTTTATATATTTTGAGGTACAAAAATGATGTATATATATTTTGGATTACAATGGTATACAATGCATTACCGCGGTTTATGAATTACAGGTTATGACAACTGATTTATATAAATAATATGCTGCAAACAATGCAGGTATATGAATTATATAAATTATACCTCTAAATAAAACACCCTATGAAAGCGCTTTTTCAAGAAAAACGCTGCCTTAAGTAACCTATGAAAGCGCTTTTTCACAAAAAGCGCTGTCTAAAGTAAACATAAGACAACGCTTTTCCAGGAAAAAGCGTTGCTAAAAGACCACCTATGAAAGCGCTTTTCTAGAAAAAAGCGTTGCTAAAAGCCTATCTAAGACAACGCTTTTCCAAAAAAAAGCGCTGCTAAAAGAAAACTTATGAGAGCGCTTTTCATTAAACAAAAAGCGCTGCTAAAACCTATAGCAGCGCCACCTACGAAAGCGCTTTTAAAGGCCAAAAAAAGCGCTTTCGTAAGTCTTTTTTGGCGTAGTGTTCACTAATGCATCGCTGTCGTAGAACCGTGCCAGTATGTTCCACGAACCTTCAGCTTCGTTGAATCAATGATTTTCTCAAATACATTCACACCCATACACTAATGGATATAGAACAACGCCTTTTGATATTTCTTCCTCGTATCTCTTTGTGCGTTTCTTTGTTCCTCCGTCGCATCTGCTGCAACCAGAACGTAACCGTCGGTGACGAGATCAAGAACGTCTTGAGCACCAAACAAGACACTCATTTGAATCATCACTGATTCCAATTCTTTCCATCAAACATGTGAAGCTTTGTATTCAAGCTATTTCCGCCGTTCATCTTCGTTCTTATGCACTAAAACTCATTCAGATCTCACTAAACACTCGTGTTTCTCGATCTTGCAAAATCAAGAAATGCAATTTTGTTACAATTCCGACCGTGAGTTCAACGCGAATTCAATAAACAAAGTCAATCACGCACACCTCACGTACACTCGTGTTTTACTTTAAATCGAACCAAACTCTGATACCAATTATTGGTGGACAAGGTTGAAGATGAAGATAGAAGAAGAGAGAGAAAAACAGTTGTAACAAACTTTAAGAGGGAAATTCTATTATGATAAATATCTACAAAATAAATTACACCAAAGTGTTTAAATACACCAATGAAAAATTCAACAGATATACAAAAAAATGCAAAGCTAAGCTAACAGTTAAACACAACTTCTATAAAAGTTTCTAACAAAAAGTCTCAAAAACCACTGCTTCTAACTAACAACAACTTCTTACTAATTCAAAATTTTGAATATGAAATACTTATAACAAAATATGTGCGTTCAAAAATACATTTTCAAATACTAAATATATTATGAACTTTTCATAATGATATGAGATAATACATAAAAATGAAAAACATATTCCCCTCAAATGAAATTTGATTTTTAACGATTTTTAGTTTGTTTTTATTGGGTTAATTCTTCAAATATTAGGAAAATAAAAATAAAAATAAAAGACTAAATACTATGCATATGACTAATATCAAATTGATTGACTTTGAATACGTTAAGTAACACGATATCACCGTCCATTGAGAGAAACACGAGCATGTTCGAGAACCAACCACCATTTCCCAAACTCACTAAACCTCTACTCTCACACACACACACACTAGCCGTACACGAAAACCCACCATCTATCCTCTCATCAACTCACCCTTTTTTCCCTCCAAATTACAATATTGCCACAACATTTCTTCTTCTCTAATCACCCCTTCTTTCTACTTCTACTTCTACTTTCCAGTTTCTACTTCTATTTTTATCAGTCACACGCGCTTAAAACATGAACTCTCTTCAATTCCGTTACGCTCTCTCTCCTCACTCCACAAACCCCCGATTTTCTCGCACTTTCCCGCCTCTTTTTCATTTTCCAACAAACTCGCGCTTTCTCTCTTTCACAGAAATCAATGCAACTAGAAGAATAGCCAGAAGAAAACAAGGCTTCTCGATTCGCTGTTCCTCCAAAACCGATTCTCAGATTGAGAAAAACGATGAACGGCCTCCGTTTGATATCAACCTCGCCGTTATTCTTGCTGGTTTCGCCTTTGAAGCATACACAACTCCTCCTGTATGTTGTGCTTTCTGTTTATGGACTTTTTTCATCATTATAGATTACTGATTGAGTTTATTACTCTTAACATTGCTTTGTCTGATTTGAAGATTTGTAGCTTGTTAGTTGAACTAAAACAACTTCATTCATCAGTAATGATTTCCGTCTGTATAGGTGTTACGTCGGTGATTGCGGTCGTCACGGTTGTAAATTAACTTCGAATAACAGTATAGGAAAGGTATCTTCTGATACTGTTTTGTCGCCACCGTTTTCACCGACCTAATTTTAAAACCTTGGTTAAAATGGTAAAGTAGCTGTTTGAATTTTTTTTTGGTTTTCTATTTTTGGAGGGGAAAAAATAAGCTGACCTGAAATTATTTGTGAATTAAGAATGTTATTGTTTAATTTGGGAGATTAACTTGGAAATTTTAAAACAAAAATCAGTATGTTGGTGAGTTTTGGGTTTTATTAATAGTTATTTTTGTCCAAATGTTGAAAATGGTAATGAGGTGAGGTTTTGGAGGGAAAAAAAGCTAACCTGAACTTATTAGTAAATGACTAAATGTGATTTAATTTGAGAGATTGAATAGAAAGAAAATAAATGATCATGATGTGACATTGGACCTGGTATTATTTTTTCTTTGTGGTGTCTTTGTTTTCTTTTTAATTCTTTGTTTTTCTTTTTCGTTGTAACATGTTTCAGGAAAACTTGGGTAGGCGTGAAGTTGATGCAGCTGGTAGCAAGACAATCTATCTTTCTGAGTAAGTTAGAATTGCCTTTCATAGTTGCTCTTACTCAGTGCTGTTCTCTTTGTCATTGTATTTAAATTATTCGAATGCATTTCTGGAAGAACCCAATGATGTCATTTGATCAATGTAGCTGATTTCATCTAGATGGATAAAGAAGCTTGAATGTCGTTGTTATATTTAGCTTATGTTTAGATGAGCGGTGATATTGGCAAAATAAGGGTGTCATCATGGTTTTGTTGAATCTCCAAAGTGCAACTTCTACCTGCCAAATTGCGGCAGCTCAATGGTTCTGCCATTCTCACCGCAAATCCAAACACACACTTAATCTCATATGTATTTCCTTATCAAAATAATGGGCATGCTTGACAAGATCTTTTTGACAATATGCAGGGAATTTTTCCGTGAACTTTATGATGGACAACTTTTCATAAAGTTGAAAAAAGGATCTAGTTTCCCTGCCATGGATCCATGGGTTGGTTCTCTTATATAAACTTATTTACTGTACTGGATAGTTCTCTAATGCAATGAGATGAATTGCACTTCTTGTTACTTAGCCAGTCAACTTAGTTATTTCCCCCTTCCATTAATAGCTAATTTACACAACTACTTGGCGTTCCTTTTAATTATGTTGTTTCTTTACATTTATTCTAGGGAACAAGTGATCCATATGTGGTCATACAGATGGATTCTCAGTCTGCTAAAAGCAATATCAAATGGGGGTAAGCTTTTGTAGTAATTTTTTTTGTCATTTCACTTCTTCAAAAGCTATCATCTAATGATTAAAATGAATTTTAATAGCTCTAAATAGTTTACAATCAATGTGATTGCAGAGTTTGTACAGTTTTATTGTTTTGGTTTTCTTTAGAAAACTATTTAGATTATTCTTGCATTTGCAAGCACTTTCTAGCTTGACATGCTATGAATTTTCATTTTCTTTTAAATTTGTGTATTAGCTAAGCTGAAATAAGGGAGATTTTGGTGGGACTATTGTTTTTAATTTTGTAAAATCCAGCATAACAAATCTCTTCGGTTTCTGCACTAAATCAATTGCAGTAGTGCTATACAGTGTTTAGAATTACCAATTTACCATCATAACTACTAAGTACATTTGGTTCAATTATGTAAAATTAATTGATGACAGGACAAAAGAGCCAACGTGGAATGAGGAGTTCACTTTAAATTTTAAGCGGTCTTCAAACAAAGCTCTACAGGTTAAGAATCATAGTTTCTTTCCCTGTCTCTCTCATCTGTGCACCCATATAGACACACATTGGCATTGGCATGTCCGCACTTATGACAACTGCACATTAAAAAAATGATAAATGAGAAACTTTTTATATAAGTGTGGAAGTGTTATTGGAACTTTGATAACATTTAGTGGCATGATGTGATACATGAAAAATGTAGCAAGTAGTACTAGTAACTAATCATTGCTTTGTACTTATACTAGATAGATATACTTAACCCCTTTTCCACTTTCATTTATTTCTTGTACTCTTCTTTAGAAGTTAGAGTCTGATACAATTGAGCTTAATGTGCTTGAGGGAATGTTTGTTAAGATATGTATAGATTTAAATTATATTTTGTTGAGAAAATCTCTCAACAAGATTAGATTTATTAGTTTATTCATCCCTATAGTTGAGGGATTTGATTATTTTTTCTGAATGTATTCTCTTAGTCATAAATAACAAAGGCTGAGAGTATTTCTCTCAAGCAATTCAAACCAGGCTCTGATGTCAAAGCTGGGGTTAATGTGCTTGAGGGAATGTTTATAAATTATAGTTGACATGAAGTAAGGTCGTTGTCTTATATCATACTCAAAAGATACATGTCAAGAAAATTTTATTAATGGATGGTACTTTCATATTCCTTAGGGATGAAGTAGATTAGATAAGAACATTCAAGGCAAAGTTTAAATTGTGAGTCTAAGAAATGTTATGATAATGGTCATGTAAGAGTAAGATTGTGATTTGTGGATGACATAAGAAACTTTCATGAACAACTCTCTAGGACACGCTTACTTCGTGTCTCCTTTTTCTTAAATATTGAATGTAGGTTAAATTACTCCTGCAGTCCATCAAATTATCTTATTGTACTAGTTTAGTCTTTTATGTTATTTTTTTCTTATAGGTCTTTTCCTACACCATTGAACTTTTTACTGACATCCATTACAAAAAAGCATGTGACCGCTATGGGTTTAATGTGTATTAAATGAAGCTAACATGTCTAATTCAAGTAGGCTTTTGGTGAAAATTGATATATTTTTATTCAAAAACAAAAATCACTTGAAGAACCATAAGGCTTGTTTGGGAGTTTAGAGGGGGAAGGCTTTCGGGGGAGAGGAGTAGTGAGAAAAATAAATAAGTTTTTCACTTTTTTTTTTGTGATAGTGTTTTTGTATAGAATGATAAATAAGTATTTATTATAAATATATTTTTTAATATTTAGAATATTATAACAACATAAATTGGATTTGAAGAATTTATCTAAATCCTTCAAAATTCTCGAAAATCCTCCTCCAATACAATTTTTGAATTCCCTCAAATTAGGCGTTTTGTATTATGAAGAAAATAAAATTCCCCCAAAACCCCTTCATCCAAATACCTCAATTCTTTCCACTTCATCCTTCCTATTTTTCAAAGCGCTCCCCTTGCCGTTCCTCCAAATTCCCAAATAAAACAAAGCCTATGCCTCTTTAACTTCAAGCCCTCCATTTGCATAGCAATTGTATCTGATGCCAAGCAAAGCTTTAGCCATCTCTCATATTGATCATTTGAATCCCAAGAGTCCACTAACATAAATATGTGGCTCTAATGAAGTTGTTCATGCTTTGGCACGGGTGACTCCATCTCTTGCTAGTTTTGAAAATTTTATCGATATTCCAACATGTATCCAACAATTTCTTAATAATGATATGATTAAAGTCTTTTCCTGGAAAAAAAATAATATGTGACTCTGATATGAATCTTCATGTTAAAACTTCTTCCCCGTCAGGAGTGCCATCTATTGACCTAGAAAGTTATTAAAGACTAGTTTCTAAGCTAAGTTATGTTATTGTCACTTGTCAAAATATTTCTTTTGCTGTTTTAGTGGCGAGTGAGCTCCTTTAGACTTGTTATGGTAATTGGGATGCAACTATTTGTATTGAGGGGCATGTTAATGTGGATTATTGTATGAAAATTGTGATCATTCCTAGGTGATTTTGGTTACCAGATGTTGATTGGGCTGATATTTTCTTTAATAGGTGTTCTACCTCAATATGTGTTTGTGTAGGGTAATCTCATCCCCTGAAAAATTAAGAAGCAAGCTGTTGCAGATAGAAGTAGTGTTGTGGATGAGTATTGTGCTAATGGCACTAGTCACATGTGAGGTTATCTAGATCAAGCAACTAATTCATGAGTGGATATTTACTGAGGCATCTCAAATGAAGTTGTTTCACAATGATTAGGATACTCTTCATATTGGTTCGAACCTGGTTTTCAATGAGAGAACCAAACATATTGAAGTGGATTGTCACCTCATTAGAGGAAAATTTCGATCTAGTTGTAGTGCCACTAGCTCTAGTGATATCTATCCAATTTTTCACTACATCTCTCAAGGCCCTCAGATTGATTGTAACAAGCTTGGTATAATCTATATTCTCCACCTTGAGGGGGATAGTTAGAGTTCTAGGTGTTGGGCCCGTAAGCACTTTTTAGTATATGATGTATAGCTTAGTATGTATAATCTTGCAATAATTCATTTAGTATAAAAAAAATATTTTGTATCGCGTGCACTAGCATTTCAAAATCTGAAGCTATTAGATAAATAATATGAATGGTCTCACAAGCAATAGTTTAAGTGCTTGTTTTTCCTTATGGAACACCTACACAGGTATATCATCTGGGTTCAAAAAATAAAATTTCCAAAAAATATGTGCAAAAAATGAAAACAAAAGTTTGATGGTAAAATTAGAAGAAAAAATAATGTTAAATTTCTTACCGTTGACAGTATATCTTAGATTGCAGCTTGGGATGCAAACCTTGTAACCCCTCACAAACGAATGGGGAATGCAGTTGTTGATTTGCAATGGCTTTGTGACGGTAAGGACCTGAAAATCTTGCAAGATATTGAAATATTCTTCTGTTTAAAATTCTTTTAGTTGAACCCTGATACATTTTCTTGCAGACATGTTTGAATTTAATGATTCATTGAAATGGTAACTGCCGAAACAAGTCTTATAGAATCTACTTATGATGTTATTAAGAAAACATAAAGTTAAGATGTCATATTAGACTTCTGACTATATATTCTTTTACCATATAATGTTTTTTTCTTTCTTGTAGGAGATACACATGAGATACTGGTGGAGTTGGAAGGAATGGGTGGTGGTGGGGAGGTTTGGCTGGAGGTATGTTTCTTTCAATGGAAAAGAATAAAAACAAACCAACAGTACAAGTTCTTAATATAGGAAAAAATTATTGGTATATGTATTTTGGTGAACATCATTATGTTTATGCCATTTGTTCTTCAAATACATTTTAGTAGACAAAATCATGACTGAAAAACGACTCTGCTGGGGATCGAACCCAGAATCTCTGGTTCCGTAGACCAGCGCCTTATCCATTGGGCCACAGAGTCCTCATGTTAATTATTTTTTATTTAATTAATAAATTCTCTAGGGCTAATGTAAAATGACATGCGGTTGTTATTCAATTGACTTGAGATATATGCTATTCATTTTATCATTGAAATTGGCGATTAGGTATGCTTAATTTATTGTCAATTTGCTTATGTGAATGATATGAGGTTGCCTGCCTTTTGATGAGTCATAAGTAGTGACTTAATAAATTATGGATTTTAGGTTAAGTATAAGACCTTTGATGAAATTGATGATGAGAAAAAGTGGTGGAAGATACCTTTTGTTTCAGACTTTTTAAAGAAGAATGGTTTTGATTCTGCACTCAGAAAGGTTATTGGTTCCGATACAGTACAAGTCAGCCAATTTGTGGAGTATGCATTTGGGCAGTTAAAGTCATTTAACAACGAGAAGGGTCGGATGTCTGATAATGATAAATATGATATTGAAAGTTCTGAGCAATCGAATGAATCTGCTTTTATGTTGAAGACGCCTTCTCTTGAGGCTGGTAGTTCAGAATTCTCTAGTGAACAAAGAAACATGGAAGAGTTTCGCTCACGTTACAGTGAAACTGGAAATGAACATGCTTTGAAACTATCACCACAAGCTAGTGAGGAAGAACTGTCAAATCAACGTTTTTGGATGAATTTTTCTAATGTTATCAATGCCAACATTGTTCAAAAGCTGGGTTTCTCTGTTCCGGAGAAATTAAAGTGGGACGGACTGGAGTTTCTAAACAAAATTGGCTCGCAATCCCAAGATATTGCAGAAGATGTTTATATTCAATCTGGTCTTGCGATGCCTGGAGGCACAGAAGAACCAGACAATAAAACAAGTGGTCAGCCTGCCATTGCGGCAATCCAGGCTTCACTTCCAGAGGTCAAAAAGGCAAGTGAGATATTGATGAAGCAAACCGAATCAATTTTAGGAGGTTTAATGCTCTTGACAGCAACAGTTTCCAAAATGAAAGATGAAGGACGTTTTTCTGAAGAGAAGAAAACCAAAGGCGATTCTTCCAAAGGAGTAGGCTGTGATGTTCAATATTCTACTAGTGAGAAGTCTCCTAGCCCAGAAAACGGATCATTGTTGAATGATAAACAAACTGAAGAAATGAGAGCACTTTTTTCAACTGCTGAAAGTGCTATGGAGGCTTGGACAATGCTGGCGACTTCACTAGGTCATCCTAGTTTCATTAAGTCTGAGTTCGAAAAGATATGTTTCTTAGATAATGCATCAACCGACACACAGGTGTTTTGTTACCTCCTCATTAATGAATTCACTTATCTTTTATGAATGACAATTGGCACTATATCATACCAAATTCCGAGTTTTACTGCCAAAGTATTTTTCCAGGCACTGCTTTCTATTTTCTTAATCATTAGAACTTTTAGGTTGCAGTTTGGCGTGATTCTGTGCGAAGAAGGTTAGTGATTGCATTTAGGGGAACAGAACAGGTAGTTTCTATTCTTCTTGTTCTATTAGGCATAGTACAACTGGCCATCTGGTTTGCCTTAAAGATGCTTATGCATTTTCATTTTTCAGACAGCATGGAAGGACTTAGTAACGGATCTAATGCTTGTTCCAGCCGGGTAACATTCATTTCCAACCTTGTTGCGACTTGTTCAGCTGTTTGTTTTTTATATTGTTAAAGAATCTTTCCACTTTGATATATTTTTGATCGCAAGAGAAATCGGGTCTGTGATATTTGATTAGTGTATTCAAATTATAGTATACTACTTGATTTTGTATGATATTTTTGATGACATGCTCCTCATAAGAATATTGTTGATTCAGTGTTATTGCTAACTCAAATCCCATTTGCAATTAATTACACAAAATATTTTACATGTGATTAATATTGTTGATTCAGTGTTATTGCTAACTCAAATCCCATTTGCAATTAATTACACAGAATATTTTACATGTGATTAATTACGCATGCATTACAACTTGAAAAGTAATATAACCCATAGATAAATTAGAAGGGAATTATTTTTAAAAAGGAATGAGAAAAAACGAAATGCGATAGATGTGTATTATAGTGACAACAACAAGGCATTTACGTTGTTCATCTATTGAAAAAGCTTATCTACATTGTGAATAAGAGCAGTAATGATAAGTGTTACTCCCTCCATCCCTTATTATAAGACTAACAAAATTTAGTGATATTAGGTAAAGACTAACATAACTTAGTGATATTAGGGTACAGTAGTTGTAACAATAAGTATGTAAAATGTGTGTTACTTTTTTATATTATCCATACAATTAATGATATCATAAAAGAGAAAAAGCAATTTTAGATTTTTCAGTTGTAAAATAAATAGGAGTATTTTTGTAAAGAAATTATTAAGGCATATGAAAATTTGTAAAGAATCTTATATTATGGGACAAAGAAATATGAAAAGATAGTTTAATGATTAGAGCGTGAAGAATCTTCTTATTTCACAATTTATCTAATGAAGATATGTGATCTTACCAAATTCTAATAGGCTAGACATTGGAGAAGAGGATCGAAGCTATAACTACTATTGTCGGATTCAAAAACACGAAGTAAAAGAACTGTTGAAAAGAATGAGTAATAGCAAGATGGTTGAGCCAGGCAACATACTTGTTGAAGTGTGGGAAAGTCATAGATATAGAGGTATTGAGTGACTCACCCAAATTTTTAACGAAATTATGAGATTAAAGTAAATGTGAAGGAATGGAGAAGAAGCACTTTAATTCTGATCTATACGAAGAAGAGGGATATACAAAATTGCGTAAATTATAAGAATTAAATTTATGAGTTAGCATGAAATGATGGGAAAAAATGATTGAACGGATGCTAAGAAAAGAGACACAAGTTATGATAACCAATTTGATTTTATGCCTAGATGATTGATCATGGAAGCGATCTATTTACTACGACGTGTGATGAAGCGGTATTAGATGGATCAACAAGACTTGCATTTAATTTTCATTGATTTGGAAAAATCGTATGATAGAGTGCCCGGAGCGATTTTGTGAAAAGTTCTAGAGAAGAAAAAGGTTATGATCGTTTGTATTTGAGCTATATTAAGGATGTGTATGTGGGGTTTTCGACTAGTGTGATGACATAGAGTGAGAGACAAACTTTTTTCCATAACAATAGGATTTCACCAAGGTTCAACCCTAAATCTTAATCTTTTTACTTCAATTTTGAATGTTCTTATTGAACACATCTAACAACTAACATCGAGATGTATGCCTTTTGCAGATGATATAATCCTACTTAGAGAGTTGATGAAGGAATTAAATGAGAGATTAGAGACTTTGAGATGAGCCTTAGTAGTGTATGGCTTCCACCTGAGTAGAAGTAAGACACAATATATGGAACCTAGAGAAAAGACATGTGGATTTTTTAGTAAGTAGAGTAGATCCGGTGGAAGGTAGTTAAACCGCAGGTAGAGGAAAATTTAAAAAACTAAAAGAGAAACTATTAAGGAATATCTTAAGATTAATGAGTTGGATAAAAACATAGATTTAATGGAAATATTATGACGTAGTTTCATCTACATAGTCTATTCCACTTAGTGGGATAAGGGTTGGTTTTTGTTTTGTTGTTATATTGTTATTTTATTTCATAACTAACTTTGGCATGACTTCCCCAGGCTGAATCCTGAAAGGATTGGTGGAGACTTCAAGCAAGAGGTTCAAGTATGTTAATTACTGACAGGTTTTTGTTTATAATACATCTCTAAAAAGCAACAAGAACCAAAAGTTCTTTGGTTATTGACAGTGCTGAGATCTTGCAGGTTCACAGTGGCTTTCTAAGTGCATATGATTCAGTAAGGACCAGGATCATTTCTCTGATTCGACTTGCAATTGGATATGTGTAAGTTGTACTTCCAAAGAAGTTCTATTGACCAAACACTGCCTCAAAAACATGTATCTCATAGAATTTCTTGTTTTAGTAAAAGAGAACACCATTTTCTTGCCAAATTTAAGCTTTTAAATTGAATCATTGGCTTTCTTTGTGTGAATTAATAAAACATTTTCCTTGAATCAAGGAATAATTGGAAGCAAAATAAGAAAACTATTATACATATAATAAAAGAAGGTCTGAATAGAATAAAATATAGTAAAATCCAAGAGATCACAACATCCCTTGGTTCTCCAACTGCCATAAACCAACTAACTTAAGTTTGAGTTTCGGGTTAAGGCATAGATATGGTTTATTACTTCTTTTGAAAAATCCTTTCTAGCAAAAGCCCTTGCTCACAAAAGTCCTTTGGGCTTCAAACGTGGATATCCAGATAATAAACCAGCCCATATTTACATTATATTTCTCATGGGGTGATGACCACCGACACATATTCCCTGTTGGATATAACTGCAAATTTCTTCTCTCATACTCCAAATTGTCATTAACTAATTTACCATATTAATTTCTTTTACACTCCACTTCAATAATTTTACTCAACTTTTGATTTCATATTGACAAACTGAAGGTGTATTGTTTTTGTGCCAGGGATGATCATTCTGAGTTCACCTACAAATGGCATATTTATATTACCGGTCATAGTTTGGGTGGTGCATTGGCTACCTTGCTTGCCCTTGAACTTTCATCAAATCAATTAGTTAAGTAAGTTAATTACTCTTACCTAGTTGCACTTCTTCTGTTTATAATTTTTTACGGTCTCTTCTGATAGAATTTCAACAATTAGCACGTTTAGTGTAGAATCATTTGAGAAGAGAAATTTGTGAGACTTGCACAGATAGTTTACATTTACAAGGAAATTAATGATCATGCTACTACTTAAGTACATGGATGATATTACTTTGGTACATCGCTAATTATGTACAAGAATGTATTTTCTTCAACTCCCAATACTAACATTAATTCCAACAACATCATACAAGATCCTATATAGGATAATGCTGTCATAAGTTCAGTAATGCTCCTTGTGGAATAACAGTTTTTGCCTAGATTGTCAATAAAGACACAGTTGTGTACATGCAGACTCGGACAAAAAACGCATGACACTTATGTGCTTTGAGGTTTACAGAAATACTATTTATTTAAAATATACTATATTTACTTACATAAATTACTTATTTTTTACAACAAAAAAAACTCATGACTATTATGCAGTTTGAGTTTTACTGTAAGACTATATTTAAAATATATTATGTTTGCATAAACTACTGTTTTTTTAAAAGTTGTTGATTTATAAATATCAACAATTTGTTTATATTAACATAAATATAAATAAATGATGTTGTCAGAGTTGAATCATAAATCAACAATTTACACCTATTTAACTTAACTAGTACATACCAGTTTGTTAGTGCGTGAGACACTTTTAGTGAGGAGAGACAGAGAGAATAATAAAGGAAAATAAGGATTTGTATTATTCAAGTGTACAAATAATGATACACACTATGACTATATATACAACCCTAATTGAACTTGGGTTAACACAATTTGGATTATATTAAATATTAAATCTAATCAAATAAAATATAATCTAATTTAATATTTCAACACACCCCCATAATCCAAGTTGTCGAACATCCTCAAAAATAGTCAATCTGAACTATTCTTAATTTCTTTCTCAAATTCAGGAATCTGTCGATCTTCAATCCTTTGGTGATAATGTCGGCCAACTGTGCTTCACTTGAGCAATGCCTAACTTCAAGTTCACCTTGATTTATTTTTTCTCTCAAGAAGTGAAATCTTGCTTCAATATGTTTACTTCTTCCATGCAGAATTGAATTTTTCGCCAGATTTATGACTGACTTGTTGTTGATTTGCAATACTAGAGGTTTCTTCACTTCGACAGTCATTTTTTCAAGTACAGATCTGATCCAAATTGCTTGACATGCAGCATAGGATCCCGTTATATATTCAGCTTCACACGTTGACAATGCCACCACAGGTTTCTTCTTCGAACACCATGAGATTGGGGCACCAAATACTTGAAAGAAATATCCAGTTGTGCTTCTTCGATCTTCTTTATCTCCACACCAATCAGCATCTGAAAATCAATTAACTATTGTTTTATTGCCTTTAGAATCTCGTCGAAATAGTATTTCACAATTTATTGAACCCTTCAAATATCGAAGGATTCTTCTTGCAGCCTTCATATGTGACACTCTTGGTTCACCCATATATCTGCTTACTAATCCGACTGCGAAACTTATATCAGGTTGACTATTGCACACATACCTCAGAGATTCCACAATTTGCTTGAACAAAGTTGCATCGACTTTGTCTTCCTCTCCATTATTCTCCAACTTCACATTTGGTTCGACAGGTGAGGATGCAGGATTCGAATCATCCATTCTGAATTTCTTGAGTATTTCTTTGACATACTTTCTTTGATGTAGCACCATACCTTGCTTCGACATTTGAAATTCCATGCCTAAAAAATAAGACAATTTTCCTAGATCCGACATTTCAAATTCCTTCGTCATCAGCTCTTTGAACTTCGACAAGTTCTCCAAACTATTTCCAGTTACTAGCAAGTCATCAACATACAAGCAGATGATTGTTATATCTTGTGCTACAACTTGAACATAGACACCATACACTGATTTGCATTTGACAAATTCTAATTCGACTAAGTATGAGTCGATCTTCTTGTTCCATGTCCTAGGTGCCTGCTTGAGGCCATAAAGCGCTTTGTGCAATCTATATACTTTACTCACTTCCTTCTGAATCACAAATCCAGGAGGTTGTGTGACATAAACTTCTTCGTCTAAAGGACCATTCAAAAATGCTGATTTCACATCTAGATGAAATGTTGACCAGCCTTGGTTGCATGTCAATGCTACTACTAGTCGAACAATCTCTAATCTTGCTACTGGAGCAAATACTTCAGAGTAGTCAAGTCCTGCTCTTTGAAGAAAACCTCGAGCTACTAATCTTGCTTTATGTCTTGCTATTGACTCATCTGCATTGTGTTTCAACTTGAACACCCACTCTACTTCGATAGCTTTTGTATGTGTTGGCAATTCGACTAACTCCAATGTGTTATTTCTTTCGATTGTCTGTAACTCTTCGACCATAACTAACTTCCACTTGTTAATCTTCAAAGCTTCGCTATAGTTGATTGGTTCAGCACCTGCAAGTAAAGAAAAATGAACTAATTCTCCATCTGGTGTGATTTCATCATCACCCACCACTTCATAATCATGTAGTCTTGTTGGAAGAACTCTATTTCTTTGAGGTCTTTGGCTTGTTTCAGCCACAACCTCTTCGACTTCGACTGTGACGGGAGTGTCAGCAACCGCTTCCTCTTCGACTTCGACTGGATTCTGAACAATTCCTTCGACCTCTACTTCATTAGTTTCTTCGTCGAAATCAAAGTTCATTAATGATTTGTTAATTAAATTGCTAGAACTCCAATCCTAGGCAGAATTTTCATTAATCACAATATCTCGACTCAACACAATCTTTTCATTAACTGGATTGAATAGTCTGTATGCACCAGTTTTATGATATCCTACCAGAATCATAGGTTCACTCTTGTCATCAAGCTTCCTTCTCCTTGCATCAGGAACATGCTTGTAACACATAGAGCCAAACACCTTCAAGTGACTTACTGATGGTCGTTTGCTACTCCACACTTCTTCAGGAACTTTGTTCTTCAATATTTTAGTAGGACACCTATTCAAAATATAAACTGCAGTCGAAACAACTTCTCTCCATGAAGATTTTGGCAAATTCTTTTGCTTCAGCATGCATCTTGCCATATTTGATATGGTTATATTTCTTCTTTCAACAATTCTATTATGTTGAGGTGTGTAAGCAACCGTTACCTCATGATCAACACCATGTTCTGCACATAAATCTTCAAACATCTTGGATATGTATTCGCCACCTCCATCTGTTCGTAGAACTTTGATCTTCTTCTCACTCTGGTTTTCGACAAGTATCTTGAATCTCTTAAAGATTTCGAATACTTCGTCCTTTCGTTTGATCACATAGATCCACAACGTTCAACTAAACTCATCGACAAAGGAAACAAAATATCTGTTTCTACCAATTGTATGTTCTTCAAATGGACCACATACATCTGAATGCACCACTTCGAGAATGCAGGATGATCTCATTGACATAGTCGAAACGAAAGAATTTCTGGATTGCTTTCCACTAAACAACCTTCACAAAGTTTTTCAGGCATCTCAAGATTTGGAATACCAGTAACCACATCTTGAGTAATCAGTTGATTAAGTGATCGAAAATTCAAATGTCCAAACCTCAAATGCCACAACCAACTATCCTTGTGGTCGACAACAGTTTTCAAACATTGAACTTCTGTCGAACTGATCATAGTCTTAAATGTCCTGTTCTTCGACAATCGAGATTGTAAAACCAAATTGTTCTTAGTGTCAAACAATTTCAAAACTCCATCTTTCATGACAACTGAGAAACCTTTTTCAACTATTTGTCCAACACTTAACAAGTTGCATTTCATTCCAGGTACATAGAGCACATCTTTGTTCATAGCTTTCCCTCCATTACTCATTTGAAAGACTATGTTGCCAGTACCTTCTGCTTGCAACGAACTATTATCAGCAAGTTTTACCTTGCTCTTCTTCGACTCGTCAAAATCTGCCAACCACTCCTTTCGACCAGTCATGTGGTTCGAGCAACCTGAGTCGAGAAACCAGATATTAGATTCAACATGGTTATCTGCAACTGCAGCCATAACCATCATACCACCTTCAGAATCATCTGAATCTTGGCGTGCAAGGTTCGCTCCTTCGTCCTTGCCTTTCGATCCTTTGTCTTTTATGTACCAATAATTCTTGGCCAAGTGTCCCCACTTTTCACAGTTATAACACTGCATACCTTTCTTATGTTCTTTGTCATTTCGATAGTTTCCTCCTCCCCTTTTCGAGGATTCAGAAGATCTATCTTCGATCTTATTTTTATAGGAGTTCGACCAAGACTTCTTGCCATGAGTCTCGTCGAACTTGCCTTTGAATTTGTTGGAACCACCATCTTTTTTTCATGATTGAGCTTGCAGTGCCTGTATCGAGTCCTGAATTCCTTTCCTTTCGACAATCCTCATCTCATGCCTCTCCAACGAACCAACCAAATCTTCCACTTTAGTGGTTTCAAGATTGTTGGATTCTTGAATAGCTACGATAACGTGATCAAAGTGAGAGGTCAACGTTCTTATTACCTTCTCAACTATCATCTTATCAGTAATGGTTTCACCACAACCCTTCATGAGATGGACGAGTTTCTGAACCTTCGACACATATTCTGCAACTTTTTCATCTTCTCCCATCGACAACAACTCATATTGTCGATGCAAGGTTTGTAATTTGACAACCTTGACTTTCTCACCTCTTTCGAAATACTTTACCAGAATATCCCATGCCTCCTTCGCTGTTTCAACATGAGAGATCCTGTCGAAGTTAGCAGCATCGACAGCCGTTTGAATGCAATAAGCAACCTTGCAATCTTTTTTCTTGACTTCGTTGTGGGCTTTTTTCTGTTCGTCGGTTGCATTTGTAGTCAATGCCGGAACGCCGTCGGTAACCACTTCTAGGGTTTCATGGAAGCCAAATAAGGATTGCATTTGTTTTTTCCATCGAATCCAATTTTTACCGTCAAGTATTGGAAGAGAATTTGGAATGCCCTTATCACTAGCCATCTTCGCAGCGGTTGATTAACTTGTCTTAGAAAAACGATCTCTGACGTGAAATTATTGAAAACTTGATCAAGAACAATAACCGGAAGCTCTGGATACCAATTTGTTAGTGTGTGAGACACTTTTAGTGAGGAGAGAAAGAGAGAATAATAAAGAAAAATAAAGATTTGTATTATTCAAGTGTACAAATAATGATACACACTATGACTATTTATATACAATCCTAATTGGGTTTGGGCTAACACAACTTAGATTATATTAAATATTAAATCTAATCAAATTAAATCTAATCTAATTTAATATTTCAACAAATTACATACCAGTTGAGTTATCCCACCCACTATGTTTGCATAAATTACGTATGTTTTACTTGTTTTTAGAGAAATAGAAGTCCATAAACCTTAGAGTTTGAAAGAAGCAAGGCTACATACAATTCAACAAAACTCAATAGAACTTTAATTACAATATCTAGTGACAAATTCAAAGGGAGTTTTGTATGAGCATTGGTTTTCATGAAGGTTTAAACTTTTACTTTTATGTGTGAAATGATTATTTTAACTAGTTATATAATTACATTATATTTTCTATGCATTTGAAATGAGGATGAGCCTTGCTTCCTTCCAGTGGGAGCTTTGTTGATAGGATCCAAAATGAGAAGACGAACTTAAAGAGACCAAGAGTGACTAAGTTTACTAGTGAGGTGTTTCAATAATTAGGAGGGTGTCTAAGTAATATGATGTTTTTGTATGGATACATTCTCTTAATAATCTTAATAAAAATATTATTCAATAGTATTTAAATTCTCTGAATAATATCTTAATAAATATATTATTCAATAATATCTCCTTGGTAATATAATATTTTAATAGAGATATTCTCTTAATAATATCTTCTTAACAAAGATATTATTCATAAAATATCTCTATTATATATTATTAGTAAAATATTCTTATTACTTAGACACCCTATGATTGTTTAAACACCTTAATAATTAACCTAGTCACTATTAGTCTCTTTAAGTTCACCTTCTCATTTTGGGGCTTATCACTCACTCACTTTATGTAATTATTTAATTTTAAATAATTACACGCTCCAAACTTGCTTGTTAATGTTTAATTATTTTCAAGACATACATGGCCTGACAATTAATTTAACCTATTATTTATATTCATTGTTATGAAACATTATATATTAATGATAACTACCGTATACTTTATTGACTCGTTGATTTATTTTGTCTATCAGGCGAGGGGCGATTTCTATCACTATGTATAATTTTGGTTCTCCCAGGGTTGGTAACAAAAGATTTGCAGAGGTTTACAATGAGGTCAGAAAAGGTTACACAATTAGTTTGTTGACGCCGTTCTTGTCTCCTTGTTACTGGCTATATTAAATAAAGTATCCATGAGACTAAGCAACAAGTAAAACTCCTAATTGTAAACAGCAAATTTATACGCCCTGAATAGGAGATAGTATACTAGCACTAAATGTCAAACCCTTTCCAATAGCTGTGAAACGAAGATTACTTGGATCTATATTTAAAATTTAGCGTCTATTGTCAAGAAAGAACATGTAACTCAATTTATATTCCCTTTTCTCCATAATATAAAGTACTGTCAAATTATGGTGTTGTTCTTTTAGTAGTGTCAATTTATATTTGTTGCCACATGTCCGAAAGTTCTCTATGACGCCCACGGTCTGTTATTGGGCACGTTGTCTACCTTCGTTGTAGCAGTACAACACCCTAAGTTTATTGAGTTTAAGGGGTGGGTTTATGCCCACATTGCCTAGAAATCTAACCTTTGTAGTTCATATAAGGTTTAGATAGTCCTCACCTTACAAGACTAAGACAGAATTCTTAAGCAATTGCCGTCTTCTTAGTATGGCTCACATCCGACAATTCAGAGAATGATGTTCAACAACTAGTCCCAAAAGAACACAGCTGTTTCAAATTCTTATGAATTATTTTAAACAATCCTACCAAAGCACAAAGTGAATGGAGCATGTGGTGAAAAGTCATTTCAAACTCTGGAATATTTTATTTAGAGCCATTTTGTCTTCCAAACTGTCATATGTTAAGTAAAAGTAAAGTTGTTTGTTTCTCTGTTTATGTTTGTAAAACAGTTAACAGTAGTTTTGCTCTTATATTTGCAGAAAGTTAAAGATAGCTGGCGAGTTGTGAATCATAGAGATATCATTCCTACAATACCCCGGTTAATGGGTTATTGTCATGTCAATCAACCTTTATTTCTTGCCGCGGGAGTTCCAACAAATTCCCTAGTAAGCTTTAATCTAATGCTTCAAACACAACTTGATTTTGAGCCAATGCTTCAAAATACTTAAATATAAAAATATACTCTGCACTTTGTCAGATGCTGTTGCCAGGTCTTTTTTTTTGTGTTAATTTTAGTTAGACTAATTAATTTGAAAACTTGCAGTAATATGTAGGCAAAATGATTGAAGAGGGGTTCCCCGTTTCTGTGCAAAATAACTTTTACAGAAACAACTAGTCATTATTGATATGGACTGCTTACTATTTTTAAATAAAATTTTTATTTTCAAAAAGGGCCCAACCGGGTTCGAACCGGTGACCTCTTGATCTGCAGTCAAATGCTCTACCACTGAGCTATGGACCCAATGGTGAAATTTTTGTCCAATCAAGTTAATCTAAACATTTTTTCCAAAATGTCTTTCCTTGATATTGCCCTATTTATTTATTTAGTAATCTTTGTTCGTAAAATCATTTGAATGTTTTTCATGATTACTTTCTTGTTGTCTACTAAATTATTTATGCTTTCTGAGGTGCCATTGTGCATAAAAGCTTGTATAATTAATTCACACTGTATGAAAGTTGTGTTTGAGATAAATGAGAGTAAGTTCATCAGTCTTGATTAGACTGGACAGTTTCTGGTTCTTCATTCTTACCGATATATCAAATGCATGCTATCCAGGAGAATAAAGATATTTTAGGAGATGGTTATGAAGGTGATGTTCTTGGGGAATCCACACCAGATGTTATAGTCAACGAATTTGTATGTTTCTTTATTTTTCTGCTCATATATATGCATACCCACGTGCAGACCCAGAAATTTATATGTATGCATGCATTTTCATTTCACGAGCATATGACATGTTATGTCAGTATAAAATAAATGGATATTGGTGAAAAAATTTGCAAAAAATATGTTTTATAATACAGGTTTGAAAATTTTGTTATAACTAAATTAGTGTTTTGAAAGCAAAGAGTAAAGTCCTAGAAAAAGCAATTTTAATGATTTGGAATGAAACAATATTAGTGCTGTTCTTGGCATCCGCACCTCGGAACTATAACCCGTGATTCTTTCCCTATTATAGACTATAATCATTTTTGGGGTTTAACATGATAGACATTCGTTATATATTCTTAAATTATATTTTGACTTATCTTTCTTTAATGTTCACTATTCTCAACTTTGATCCATCCAGATAAAAGGTGAAATGGAACTTATTGAGAAGTTGTTACAAACTGAAATTAATATATTCCGCTCAATCAGAGATGGAAGTGCTTACATGCAGCATATGGAGGATTTCTATTACATCACGTTACTAGAGGTATGATGCTCACACTTTAAAAACTTCAAAGGAAATTTCTACGTTCCGTTATCATCATTCTTATCTGGGTTTATGGGTAGCGTAGTTTACTTTGGTTCAGAAAAACATCTGTCTTTAGAGAAGAGAGACATGAAAGAACCAAAGTAGTTTAGATGGACTTTTTCATATGGAGGAGTTGATAATAGGAATCTTCTAAGAAAATGAAATATAAGTTTTTCATAGGTAGATTTTGAATAGAAACAAGTAATTTCTCTAGAACTAACAAAATTTATTTGAAAAGTTTCTATTCTCTTTTGTTATTTTAAAACTTCTGGTGGTTTAAATTCAATTCTGATTGAGTTTTGGTGTATGATAAACTCTTTATCATAATTGAATACTAATTCATATGTTGTCAGAACTGTGTGTTAGTTTAGTGTTAGGCTATGTTATCCCTCTTGGTCTTGAGTATGAAAAGATAAAGTGTATAAGATACATTTGAAGAAGAGAGGGTATTGCATGGTCTCTCCAACTCCATTTTCATCTTCGTCCCTGTTTTGGAGATTGAATAATACCAACTAAATTTTGAAGTGAATGTTAGTCTATCAAAGACAAGTGACATTCATTTTGTCCTAAATTTGTTCCTTTAATCATGGAAAAGAACATCAAAAGTTTCCTTTAGTTTTAAACCATGATTATGTTAATGGAGGGACTAAATTGATATCACTACTTTTTTTGAGAGACAAAATGTCTGTTTTTTTTCTGACACGCTCCAATGATACACACATTAAAATATGCACATTAAGCCACTTTCTATGATTTAGGACCAAATTGATATCAACTTATAGATAATCAAGTTAATGTCACTTGTATTTGAAAGGGAATTTGACAAGCATTTACTCTTTTTGTGATGTGATTACATAATTACCATATCTTATAATTATGCCAGTTGAGACAAATAATACTTACTTCACTTTTTGTTTAATTTATGGCACTGCTTAATTAAATTATTTCAGAATGTAAGATCAAATTATCAAGTTGCCTCAAGGTCACAAGATGTAAACACCAGCTTATCCTGAGCCAACATGGGTTCATGGTTGCAAGGCCAGACAGCTGAGATCCATGTAAAAATCTACATACAAACTGGAACAAGCTATGGAGAAAAGCACATATATTTCTTTAACACATCACCTTCAGCTAAATCTTTACTGGTATGGTAAGATCTATTCTGTTTAAGTGTTGTGAAAAATATTTGTTATCATTTTTTTAATGATCAAATTGGGGGTAGATATAGTAGAAGGGGTTGATTCGCACATTGTGACAAAACAAGGTTGAATCTCTGCCAATTATAGAGGGCAGTTTGAAAATTTGGTTGGCATTATGACAAATCAAATCTAAGCATCTCCTCTGTATATCTCTAGTTTTCTTTCTAAAACTAGCACACTGTTGCAAAGGAACTGGCACCATTGATTTTCTATTTTCATTTTGTTGTTTCAAATGATCTGTTCATTGTGATTTTTTCATAACTTGTAAGGAAGAATTAAAGAGATCAAATGTTGAGGTTCATTATTTTCCTTGTTGTGAAACACGATACCTTTGAAACAAAATATAACAGGGTTTTTTAAGGCAAGAAATTCACAAGGATAGAAAAGATGGAAAAACACGAAAAACAACAAGAATTGATTATTAAGTGCTATTCTTTATTTTCTTTTCAAACAGGATTACAAGTACACAATAATAACAAATAATTCTCTCACTCTAAATTAAGATTTGCAGTATGCAATGATGAGAGACTAGTATGCTATTTATAATAAGCTTAACATATTAAACTAATGGATTTTTTTCCACAAATATCCATTACAAGTTAATTTAAGGTACAAGTTAATTTAAACAATTAGACATAACAAACAGATCCAATTCGAAATATTAACAACTTTATCATTTTTGACACCCATATATTAGAACATACGTCGATTATAGTATGTAGGTCTTCGACACCAGCTTGTGAATATATTTGACGACATGTATAAATCTTGTCGAACTAGAAGCGACTCTTCGATCCAATAGAGTTCGATTTAAATATTTCACAATTTTCCACCTTATATTATTCGAAAATAAACTAGCTTTCTTCATGGTCTCTAGGTTCTTTGTCTAGAATTCCACTTGCAGAGATTAAGGAATAAGTTAATAAGTTATTAGATATGTATATCTAAATCTCTGAGGTGATTTGATGATTCTTCTCGTCCTATCTCTTGTCAATAGGTAGTCATTGACAATTTCCCTAACTTTTTCAACATCTTCAGTTTCTTCTTTGACTTTATTTGAGATATGCAATTCAACATCAACATGCTCCACCTCAACAGAAATCTCTCTATATTTCAGCTCTTTTTCAGATATTTCTGCATTTTGACAAACATCATCAATTTTCTTGAAAGTCATTTCAGTTTCATTGAAGATTACATCTCGACTGGTGATACACTTCTTTGACCTGGTCTAGGCACCATAGCCTATAAGTTTTGACTCCTTCGGGGTATCTTATGAAATGTATTTCAAAATTTTAAGTTCAACCTTACCTTGTCTAATTTGAGTATAAGATACGCAATCAAATACTTTCAGTGACTTTCAGTTTGTCAAAATCTGTTAGATGTTCCGACCAAACTTCTTCAGGTGTCTTTATATCTAATGTAATCATAGGACATCTGTTTATTAAATATATTGTTGTCGAAACAGTCTCAGTCCAAAACACTTTCTTTTTCAACATCAACATGCTCCACCTCAACAGAAATCTCTCTATATTTCAGCTCTTTTTCAGATATTTCTGCATTTTGACAAACATCATCAATTTTCTTGAAAGTCATTTCAGTTTCATTGAAGATTACATCTCGACTGGTGATACACTTCTTTGACCTGGTCTAGGCACCATAGCCTATAAGTTTTGACTCCTTCGGGGTATCTTATGAAATGTATTTCAAAATTTTAAGTTCAACCTTACCTTGTCTAATTTGAGTATAAGATACGCAATCAAATACTTTCAGTGACTTTCAGTTTGTCAAAATCTGTTAGATGTTCCGACCAAACTTCTTCAGGTGTCTTTATATCTAATGTAATCATAGGACATCTGTTTATTAAATATATTGTTGTCGAAACAGTCTCAGTCCAAAACACTTTCTTTAACGCAACACTAACTAACATGCATCTAACTCTCTAAAATAATTTAATTAATTCTTTCAGGCAAACTATTTTGGTGTGGAGTATCTACCGTAATTCTGTGTCTTGCAATATTAGAGGCAACACAAAAGCTATCGAAAGCCTCATTATAAAATTCAAGACCATTGTCGGTTCTTAATCTCTTGACCTTTCTGCCAGTTTGATTTTCGATTAAAGTCTTTTAATTTTTGGAATTCTCAAAAGTTTTATCCTTAGCCTTCTGGATAAATACCTATAACTTTCTGAAATAATCATCTATTATAGATAGAAAAATATCTTGCTTCTGAATGTGATGGACACCTTGCAGACTCTCAAAGGTCAACATCCATGTGTTCTTTGTTTGTTTTTGTTGAACTTTCCTCTACAAGATTTTTCAAGTACACAAGATTCATAAAATTTCAGCTTTTCGACTTTGTCTCTATCAAATAAATTTTGATTTCCTAATTCGACCAGACCCCTTTCACTAACATGGTCTAATCTCATGTGCTAAATTTCTGTCTTCGACAAAGGTTTTGTGGATGAAATATTTGTCGAACCACTTACAACTTCAGCCTCAAGGGTATACAAGCCTTGCTTCTTCACGCCTCTTAAGACTTTCTTCGATTTCTTCATGACTTTTAAGATACTTTTCTCTCCTTGGAAAACAAATCCTTTCTTGTCGAATTCACTAAGACAGATCAAATTTCTCTTCAAATTAGATACATATCTGACTTCAGTCAACAATTTTATTGACTCGTCACGAAGTTTGAATCTCACAGATCCAACACCTGCAATCCTACAAGTTTTGTTGTTTCTCAGCAATACAAATCCACCATCTTGATCACATAGCTCTTCAAACAAGTCTTCATTTGGAGTCATCTGTCAAGTGCACCGACGAGTTGTTGCTCGAAATCACAAGAATATCAGATGAGTCAAAATCATCTTGAATAATAGTTGTGTTGTCATTATCCTTACCTCCATGATCTTTTAGGCGTTCAGGAGACACTTTTCTTGTGTGACCTTCTTACAATGATAACATAAAATACCAGATCCTTCACCACTGTAAGACTTCTGCTGAATTTTTCATTTCTTCTTGTCAAACTTATCATCCTTTCGCAAGAATTTTCTCTTAACGGCCAAACCTTCACCAACCGTCGAAGGTTTATGCTCCTTTCGTTCGTTCAAGTTCTTAGAATACAAGGCTGATTGAACATCTTCAAATGTCAAGGACTCCCTTCCATACAAGAGAGTTTCTTTGAAGTGAGTATGGGCAAAACGCACAACAACAACAACGCTTGATCTTCACCGTCGATCTTCTCATCAGTATTTTCAAAATAAAAAATCAGCTTGTTCAACATATACAACTGCTCAACCAATACTTTGTCTTCAATCATCTTGAATGAATACAAAGCTTATTTTAGGTAGAGTCGATTTATCTGTGATTTGGCCATGTACAAACTCTTAAGTTTCATCCATAATTCTGATGTCGTCGTCTCCTTCGGTACATGTCGAAGAATCTTATCACCAAGGTTCAATAAGATTGTGTTGTAGGCTTTCTCTATCATGATCGTCTTTTCCTTTTCCGTTAACGCATCACTCATGGTCGCTGCTCCCTTCAACGCTTTCAAACAACTCTGCTGAATCAATAGGACTTTCATCTTCAAGCGTCACAAACCGAAATCGTTCACTTTGATGAAATTTTCAATCTCATACTTTGTTGAAGACATCTTCTCCACGCTCATCGCACCAATTTATTGTGAAACACGATACCTTTAAAACAAAATATAACATAGTTTTTCAAGGCAAGAAATCCACAAGAATAAAAAAGATGGAAAAACACAAAGAACAACAAGGATTGATTATTAACTGCTATTCTTTACTTTCTCTTCAAACAAGATTACAAGTTCACAAGAATAACAAATAACTTTCATCTTAAATTAGGATTTGCAATATGTAATGATGAGAGACTAATATGTTATTTATAATAAGTCTAATATACTAAACTAATGAACTTTTTTCACAAATATCCATTAAGTTAATTTAGGGTACAAGCTAACTTAAACAATTGGACATAACAAATAAATCCAATTTGAAATACTAACAACTTTAGCGACACCCACATACTAGAACACACTTTGACTACAATATATAGGTCTTCGACACCAGCATGTGAACATACTTCGACGATATGCATAAATCCTGTCGAATAGAAACTATTCTTCGACTTTATAGAGTTTGATCTTACCGATTGATCAGAACCTGCAAGATAGTCGGGTGATGATCTGCAGTCGGGCTATGATGTCGAGGAGGAAAACAGAGGTTGTACCTGTAAGGCACTTCAACGATCAAGTAAGAGTGGGAACAATGAGATACAAGCAGAGTGTTAAGGTATTGAGGTGAATAGTGAATATTCGACATCTGACCCTCACAAGTGTGATGGTTTATATAATGTTCCTGATGCATGGTCATTGGTTTCTGGTTTTGGGTCTGGATACACGGGTCTGCAAAAATAAGTAACTGCCAGGACTTGGTCAAACTGAGAAGATGTACCCGTAACTAGCCGTTGATTTCGAGGAGGGGGTAAGTTACGGGCAACGGTCTGATCGGTTCTTGGTTGTCTGCACGACCTAAGGTCGGGTAGACTGAGAGGTGCTCGTCGATCACCTTAGGTCGATGTCGTTTGGGAGGGTAAAGGGTCGATATTGTCCGACGAAGAGCGGGGGAGGTTCGGGCCATGAATGTATGAACTGTATTGAAAGAAAGGATTCAACTGGGCTCATTCTAACTGTCAGATCAGTTCAGAACAGTAGTCTCCCAAGTTGTTGCTTCTGAGCACAAGAGTGATGATTTTAACATCTGCTCGTGGAACGAGGCGCGTCTTATAGGGAGGATG